CCCGAACCCTCTTCCCTGTGTGTTTCTCCAGTGAGGGAGTCATAGCACACAGTTGGGGTAGTGGTGGCTGCACCCCCTAGAATGGCATGCACCTCAGTGTAGAAGCAGCAAGTTTGTGGCTCTGCCCCGGACCTTCCGTTTGCTTCTCTGGCTTTGTGGTAGGCTTGCCGTAGCTCCTTAATTTTCACGCGGCACTGCTGTGCGTCCCTGTTATGGCCTCTGTCCTTCATGGCCTTGGAGACCTTTTCTAATACTTTGCCATTTCGTTTACTGCTACGGAGTTCAGCTAGCACGGATTCATTTTCCCATATGGCGAGCAGATCCCGTACTTCCCGTTCGGTCCATGCTGGAGCTCTTTTGCGATCCTGGGACTCCATCACGGTTACCTGTGCTGATGAGCTCTGCATGGTCACCTGTGCTCTCCACGCTGGGCAAACAGGAAATGAAATTCAAACGTTCGCGGGGCTTTTCCTGTCTACCTGGTCAGTGTATCTGAGTTGAGAGTGCTGTCCAGAGCGGTCACAATGAAGCACTGTGGGATACCTCCCGGAGGCCAATAACGTTGAATTCCGTCCACACTACCCCAATTCCGACCCGCAAAGGCCGATTTTATCGCTAATCCCCTCGTCGGAGGTGGTGTAAAGAAACCGGTTTAAAGGGCCCTTTAAGTCGAAAGAAAGGGCTTCGTCATGTGAACGTGTCCAGGCTTAATTCGATTTAACGCTGCTAAAGTCTACCTAAACTCGTAGTGTAGACCAGACCTAAGTGGAGCTGCAGGGCAGAGCAGGCAGTAGCTGTTTGGAGCTCATGGAGTGAAGGCTGGGCTCCCAGCAGGTGGAAGGAGTACTAGCACCATGGACAGCGCAGTGCTTGAAGGCCCTGGGGTAAGGGTGGAGTAGGTGCAGGGGCATGGGGAAGAGGCCCTGGAAAGAGTGGTGAGCAGTTCCAAGGAGAGCAGCATGAGGCTGCTATCAACAGGGTCCTTGGATCGGGACCCGGAGTAGTGGGCGGGCCTGGGTCCCGCCCTCAACACTGGGGAAGTGGCATCATTATTGGACTGCAATACTAACCCCCAGAAGGGGGAAAACATGGATGGCCAGAGGGCAGAGCCATAAAGAGGACACTGCGGTTCCTGAGGCAGCAAGAGGGGTTGCAGGCAGATGCAGAGACAGAGTGATAGTATGAAAACTGTAGTCTGGGAGGGTGTCTGCCTTGAGCTAATCCCCAGAGTGACCAGGCGGAGGCACCAGCCCAGTGAGTGATGTGCCCTGTGACAGGAACTCATATCCACCACAACCCCAAAGCTTTTTCAGAGTCATTGCTTCCCGTGATAAACTCTGCCATCCCAGCAACAGTGTTCAGCTAAGATCAGTGTATAGATAATCTGTAAAAGATCCAGAAAATGCTTAATCATAAAAATACTCAATATATAGGAAACCTTCATACAAGGTTGGTATAGTGCAACCCACTATAAAGAGATCACTTGCAGAACAATGCATCTACAGTAGCAAGCATTTCAAAAATATTTATTGGAATATTTGGAAAATTGTTAATACTTGACATACAATGTGTCTATTTCAGATTCTATTATAACTGCTTAGAAATGACCTTCATGCACGTTTGACGGTATAGGATTAGTTACTGGGAAGACCTGTTGCTTTATATCCATATTAGCATATATCCCACTCTCATCTTGCCATGTGTTGATACCATGTCTTCTGTAATCTGCTGTGTCAGTAAACTGAGAGTGACATTTTCTATGAACTACAGAATAACCATCTGGTTGGGCTCCAACCTGTGGAAACAAGAGAGATTATAGTAGTTCATTCTTCAGCAAACAGAAATGTTCAAAAACATGCTGCTCGATAACATCTTGCTCATATTATGGTCAAACTTTAATCTGCAAGAAATTAAACCACTTCACAGAATATAATTTTATCTCCTAATTAAATGTCTGGGCACAATATCTGATTCACTGAATTGTGGACCACAGGATACGGATGATTTAGTGGCCAAGATTGGTGAACTTGGAAGACTGATTTATTTCCTAGCTTCTGGAGATTATTTTTGTAATTAAACTAAACAATGATAAAAATATTTATTCTTGTGCAATTTTTTTCTAAGAAAAGGAAGGTAACGTACCTTACAATAACTGGAATTCTTCAAGATGTGTGGTCCCTATGGATATTCATTGTTGGTTCTCATGTGCTCCATGCACCTGAGCCTAGAAGATTCTTCACTAGCAGCATCTGTTGGTTCACCTGTGCCCTGTGCCTCCTTGTGCTCCAAACCAAGGGCACAAGTGATGGCAAAGACAAACTGTCTCTGCAGTTCCTACTCTGCTGCAAATCAAGTAAATAATTGAGCAGAGGAGGAGGAGGACAGGTCGTGGAATACCAACAGGGATCATGCATCTTGAAGAACTTCAGTTACTATAAAGGTAAGTAACCTCCCTTTCTTCTTCAAATGCTGGTACCTGTAGATGTTCACAGGTGGGTGACTCACAAGCAGTACTCATTGAGGAGGAGGGTGTGAAGACCCAGGGTACACCACAGATTGCAGGATTGCTGTACCAAAGGATGCTGAAGAAGCTTGGACCAATAGGTAGTGTTTGGTAAAGGTGTGCAATGAGCTCCGGTGTCACTGCTCTACAGATTTCTACAAAAAGTATGCCTTGCAGAGAAGTAGTTGAGTGGGCCCTCATACCTTGAGGAAGAGGAATTAACATATCATAACACAGTAGAATACAGCCTGCAATCTATTTTGAGAACCTTTGAAATGAAATTGCCTCCCCTTTCATCCACTTGGCAAAGGAGAAGAATAATCTCAGGGATTTTCAAAAGGGCTTCATCCTTTGATGGTAAAAAAGCCAAAGCTCTAGAAATATCCAGGGAATTGTCTCCCAGCCTCTCTAGTGTCATGAGGTTCAGGTAGAATACCGCTAGATGGATAGTCCAATTCACATGGAATCTGGAGGGAACCTTTGCAATGAATTTGGGATGTAACCTTAGGGACACTTTGTTATGGAACACTATGTAGGGAGGGTCTGCCATAAAAGCCACAAGCTCCCCAACTCTCCTAGCTGAAGTAATTGCTGTTAGGAAGACTACTTTCATAAATAGATAGAGAAGTTTTGGGTGAAGTCAAGTCCAGAGTTGCTCCAATCAATTCTATAATGTGCATGGCGATTAAACTGGACATTTCTAGGTTCATTTGAAGTCCTACAAATTGCAGGAAACTGAGTATATTGTAAATTGAACTTCCCCAGATGACCGTCCTGTGAGCAGCTAGTCATCGAGGTTAGGAAAAAATTGGACTGCCCTGGCGACAAAGTGTGTTGCTACCATCGAGAATTCCTTTGTGAAAACTCTTGGGGCTGTCGAGAGGCCAAAAAGAACCCTGTACTGGTAATGTTCTAGTCCCATCAAAAAGCACAGAAAATTCCAGTGAGATGGGTGAATGTCTATATGAAAATAGACATCCTTCAAATTGAGAACTGCAAATCAGTCGCCTTTGTTGAGGAAAGGGATGTTGCGATAATTGGGCCTACAAATTTGCCCTAATTGTGAGCAACTGTAAAAAGTAAATGAAAGTTCATGTCACAATAACCAACAGACATTGATGGGAAAAGGTAAGAAAGGGAGACAGATTGAATTAGTCCAAACACAAATGCCTACTGATATAACTCTAAGACTGTGTGAAGATCATGCTTGGTACATAATAAAAGTGGGAACCAGAAGTCAGTGATGAAAATCAGTGTGTTGGAAACTAGCCTAATTCATGGACAAAATAATGAGGGGATGGGCTATTCCACCCATCATTCCCTTTTTGGGTCCTTTAAAGAAAGAGATTTTAGGGAGAAAAACTGACTCCTGGAGTGATCTTCACCATTATGGCTGCCACCCCCATCATCTCCTAGGACCCCAGGCCTATATCATCTTGATCTTGAGAGATGTCCTGTCCTGACCAGGCCAGATAGAGGGACCCACTGCCACTTCTGGATCCTAAAACACCACCTGGGATGAAACAGGACTGGACTTTAACAACAGCAGCAGCAACAACTCCAGCCCATCTCAACTAACTTCTTATTTTTCTCCAAAAGGCTAGTTATTACAATATTTAATATCATCTAAGAGACTGTCAGACAAGAGAGGTTTTACTTCTAAAAGTGTTCTCCAGCTAAAGGGGAAAAGGAAAAAAGGATGTTGTTAATATGAAAGCCTTATGTAATACTTTACATTTTCAAAGACTGTTTTCCCTTCTTGTTTTGTTTGATACAAGTTTTAAAGGATTTTTAATGATGCGTTTGCCATGGTATTAATCAGGCTGAGGTCTCTGAATACCAAAACCCAAACCTTGCTTAACACTGTTTAATGTTGGACAGTTACTGGACTATTTTTACACCTTTAACCCATATATTCCTCCTAAATTAATACAACAGAGATTATGGAATCCAGAGTAGTCATCCTGAATCTCAAACAGCATATAAAGACATTCAGCTGTCTGAGATATAGAATGGGTCTCCTTGAAATGAGGAAGTATCTCAAATAGAAACCCTTCTCCCTGTGTTGACGAGGCATGGGTTCTATGGCTCCTAACTGAAGATGGGTGTTTATCTCCTGGCTGAGGAACCTGTCATGAGAGGGATCTCTGAAGAGGGACAGGGAGTGGGGTTTTAGTGTAGGAATGGGTCTTGGAGATTAATTCCTTTCTATCTGTCTGAAGTAACATGTTGCCATATTGGAAAGAAATGGAACAGGTGGTCACTGAAGGGGGTGGAACTGTATGGCTGCACCAAGACTGATTTGTAGCTCTTGAAGGTCCCCTCAAAATGATTTCTTGGCATGGGATAGCTGGTGAGGGGGGAAGAAATCGTATGGAGTGCATTCTGCCTGCAGTGGTGTAACTTCTGGTTTCCTGGGTGGTTCACAAGCTCATTGATGGAAGAAGGGCTGGGGAGCGAGTCACTGTCTATGACAGTGGCTTAGGTTACTTTCCTCCAAGAAAATCCCCAGCAAGCAGAGGGTAGCCTGAGAGTCTTTGAGAGAGTGTAATGATTTGTCTATTTTTTTGCTGAACGTAAGGTTACCCTTGAAGAGGTTTTCTACCATCGCTTGAACTTCAGTAGGAAACCCCAAGGACTGAAGCTAAGAAACCCACCTTATAACTACTGAAGTTTCCATAGAGCGGGAAATGGGGTCAGTTGCTTTGAAAGATGTTTGGAGGGACAATTAAGCTATCCACCATCCAGAATAGTCTGAAACTGTAGCCTGAGCTCCTGAGGAAGCTTGCTAGCAAATGGAGATGCCTTATTATAATGAGTCATTTCGAAATCCAGAGCCTGGTAATTTGCCATCTGGAATTGTAGGCTGGCAAAAGAGAAGCTCTTCCTCTCAAGGAAGGTCCAGTTTTCTCCCTGTAACCAAGGCTACTGCAATCTGTTGTGCTTGGTACTGGCTTGAACTACTAGCAAAGTTGGGACAGGATGCGGAAAAACATTCTGACTCTTTAGATGAGATAAAAGTATCTCTTCTCAGTCTTTTTTGTGGTTGGAGCACAGTTAACTGCAGTGTGCCAAACAGCTGGGGCCAATTCTAATATGGCCCTATTGATGGGAAGTGCCACCTTACCAGGGCCCATAGTTTGGAGGATGCCCAGAAGCTTGTGAGTAGGGTCCTGAACTTCTTCCAGAGGGATCTGTAAAGCCTTCACAATCATCCTCAGGAGGTCCTGAAATTATTTAAAATCATCAGGTGGCAAAGGTGAAACCAGCATCACTGCTTTGGAGACAGGGAAGACTGAGCTGCAGGTGGATCAGGCAGTTCTAGCGGCTTGGGGTGTTCCTCCTCTTCACAGTGCTCCTGAGTGGGAAGGAGGGGGAGGGGTTGAGGCTTTTCCCGCTAAGAAGAGTTGTGTTCATATTCCTGCTCTGATCCTTTGGAGTCAGGAGGCCCAAAGTATCGGACCCAAGGTGCCAATAAAGCCCAAATATAAGGTTGTATGGGTATACAACCCCATAGTGGAGGGCTTCACTGATCCCAGGCCTGCTAGTATGTCTTGAGGCAGGGAGAGGGCACCAGTGCCAAATCTTGGGACCATTGGAGTGGTCAATGCATTGGCCTCAATCTTGCCGGAGGAATAAGAGTCCTTGGCATCTACAGGCAGAGCTGTCAGTCTTATGCCTTATGCCTCATGTCTTATGCCATGATTGGTAGATTGAATTGGTGAGTGGCACACTTTTGGTGCCCAGAGGTCAACACCCCAACTGATAGAAGGGACCAGGGAGTGGTGTACCAATGGTGTAAGTACCTCCCTGGAGATCACTGGAACAGAAAGTAGCAGTGACTCTGAGTTGATGTAAACCCTAGTTCCTCAAGAATAGCATAGCTGGGTCCAGCAGAAGAGTGAGGAGGGGCTCTATGTGTTGGTGGATTGGACAGTGCAGGAGGTAGCTGTTAGTACCGCTAAGTCCCTCTTCCTCATGTAGTGTGGAACCGCCAGTGCAGACGGTGATCGAACCAGACCCATCCCTTACATAGGCAGTGGGTATCCCTGGCTCTCAGTATTGGCCCATGTTCATTGGGAGCTGCAGACCCATACTGGGGCATAGAATCTCATCTGAGTTAGAGGAGGCAAATATGTTAGAGGGTTTAAGTGCAGATTTCTACTGCTTCTTATGAGTGTTTCCTTTACCTTCTTCCCATCCACACCTGAGTTTTTAAATCTGCACTCTTACCATCCAGGACTGCAAAATGCCATGTCCAAAAGGATGCTAATGGCAGATCCTGATGATGT